CTTAGGTGCTCTCTGACCCAATCTTCCTCTACCCAGGGCGAGTCTTCCTCTCTCCGGGCTTCTTCTCTTGTCCTTGGTCCAGTCCTGTTCAATTTATTCATCAATGACCTGGATGAAGGCACAGAGTGCTCCCTCAGCAAGTTTGCTGGTGATACCAAACTGGGAGGAGTAGCCGATACCCCAGAGGGCTGTGCTGCCATCCAGAGGGACCTGGACAGACTGGACAACTGGGCGGTGAAAAACCTCATGCAATTCAACAAGGCCAAGTGCAAGGTTCTGCACCTGGGGAGGAATAACCCCAGACACCAGTACAGGCTGGGGACCGACCTTGTGGAGAGCAGCTCTGCGGGGAAAGACCTGGGTGTCATGGTGGATGACAATTTGGCCATGAGGCAGCAGTGTGCCCTCGTGGCCAAGAAGGCCAATGGGATCCTGGGCTGCATTAAGAAGAGCATCTCTAGCAGGTCGAGGGAGGTGATCCTGCCCCTCTACTCAGCCCTGGTGAGGCCGCATCTGGAGTATTGTGTCCAGTTCTGGGCTCCACAGTACAAGAGGGCTGTGGAGCTGCTGGAGAGAGTCCAGCGCAGGGCTACAAGGATGATCAGGGGCCTGGAACATCTGCCCTATGAGGAGAGGCTGAGGGAGCTGGGCCTGTTCAGCCTGAAGAAGAGAAGGCTGAGAGGGAATCTAATCAGTGTATATAAATACCTCAAGGGAGGGAGTGCAGAGGACGGTGATGGTCTCTTTTCAGTGGTGGCCACGGATAGGACTAGAGGAAATGGCCGGAAACTGAAACATCAAAAATTCCATAGGAACTTAAGGAAAAATTTCTTAACAGTGAGGGTGACAGAGCACTGGAACAGGCTGCCCAGAGAGGTTGTGGAGTCTCCTTCTCTGGAGATCTTCAAAACCCGCTTGGACGCAGTCCTGTGCCACATGCTCTAGGTGTCCCTGCGTATGCAGGGGGGTTGGACTAGATGATCTCTAGAGGTCCCTTCCAACCCTAAGCATTCTATGATTCTATGATTCTATGAACTTTTGCATTAGGCAGATGCCTGGTTCACCTTTGGTGTCTGTCCTGATGAGTGGGGGGTGCAAGGCGAGGAGGGGAAAGAGAACTTCTGTGCATATTGGAAGCAGTAAAGCCTCTTTAAATTACACACAGGAGAGTACCTTAAGTAGAGTAGGGAGAATATATTCTACAGCTTTAGGATTTCTAAGCAGAACCTAAATTACCACTAGAAAATATACGGAACTCTTCAGAAAATCCTCCAAACCAAATGTAAACTTATGCCACAGTGCCTTCCTGGCATGAGTGACAAAGCAGGCAAGAGTTATCCTAAGATAGGGGTGGACTGAAAGTCTCATCTAAACATGTGTTACATATGATTTCTGAAAGTGACAATTTAAAACTCAGTGTTGCACTATTCATCATTTTCATTAAAAACATTCTGCTGCTGTTTATTCCGCAACAAAGCGGAGAAAAAGGACAATAATGTCAGTGGCTTGCTACAGAAGTCTGCCATGAAAAACTTTTTTTTTTTTTCTTTTTTTTCTTTTTTCCATGCAACTCCTCTATTGGGTCATGGAGAAAAACGGAAAAAAGAACAACAACAACAACACCAAAAAAAAAAAAAAAAAAGGGGATGAAATTCAAGATATATACTCAATATGAATTAAGAGAAAACAAATTTTGTTCCTTGAAAGGGACTCCAAAAGACTTACACGCCAAATAAACAACTACTTAAGAACATGCGTGAGAAGCAGCTAGTCAAGTATCAATAGGAGAATATGCAATAAAACACATGACAATAAGATACGCAGTTCTGCTTCTTCGTTTTTCCTATAGAGCATTTCTCAAGAAATATAAAGAAGTTTTTATTGTGTTTCATGTAATACAACAAAATTAATAAAATGTAGTTTGAAAACTCTTGAATTTTTTCTAGTATCTTAAACCATAAAGATGCAATAAAACTACTCACACTAGAATAACCACCTGTAGAATTGTGAAAGACTTTAAAAACTTAAGGACCATTGAAATATTCTTGTATAAAGCATTTTAAATTTTCTCACCTATTCACCGATGGTAGGAGTGAAAGCAACGCCAAAGCTGAAAGTTTTCGTCTTTCTGGCTGAGTGATGTTATCCATCCGGTCAACCCACATCTCAATCATGTTACCGAGAAGTTGGTCCAACTGGGAAAAAATACATTGCATATATTTAATTTACAGAAAATTGCTCTGTTGCACTGGATTGTAAATGAACACAGAATGTTTCACAAATGCATACTTTGGCATTAGAAAAAAATTAACAATCAATTTTGGAGACATTCAGTCTGGGAAAGTCACCATACAGTCATGTACAAGAAATTTGCAGCAACAGTCTACTTTGTATCTTCCATGACAGTCCTTCCAGGCCCTAAGGACTTCCTCTCTTCACACACAAACATGCCAATTAAGTCTACTCATCATATCCCAGAAGTCAGAAATACTTTAAATACAGGGATAGAATGCTCAATCAAACACTTTTCATACAGACATTCAATATATTTAAGTCATGTAACTTTCACCAATGAAGGTAAAAGAGAGCACAAAGACAAAAACTGAAGACTTGTGGTCACCTGTTTGAAAATCCTATTTTACCCAAGAATAAGGAGTTTACTAAATCTCACTGAAAGACAAAGTGAAATGCTGCAGCATGAAATGTTATTAGTGAAAGATTTAGCCTTGAGCTTGCAAGGCTAGAAGTTTGTACTGCTTGAGTTAGAATAGGAGGTGAAAGATTTGGCGTGCCACCGTATGGCAAAACAAAGCATGTGTGATTCATGCGTAGATTGCAGTTAACAGATAAACTACCTAGCAGTTGAGCATCGATCACTTAAGTTTTGAGCCTTCTTGTTGTCTTAGTCTTTCAGAATATTCCTATCAGAAAAATCCTCAATTTCCTAGCAACTGCAGCACGCTGTGAGAGGAACATACAGGCACAGACAAGGACAGTTAAAACACCTTCCAAATTTGAATGAATGTTTCTGTTAGGGTATGTAAATAACAGCACAAAAAGCCAGCAAGGATAATAAAAAATAATAGGCCAAAGAACCTTAGGAGCCTAAACAGTGAAAATAAAGCACACAATCAGCTACTCCTACCAAAGCTACCAAAAGAGAAAAAATAGACCATTGGCCCTGGTATGTAACCACTAAGATGAGTCAATTAAAGAAGTTTTCACCATGTAGTGCTAAGCAAATTAAAGGGACTAGTTACAGAGGGGAGAAAATTTAGATAATAGATAATAACTAATGAGATGTTTTAAGGGGATTGTGGAATATGCACAATTTATTGCAGATGGGGAAGTACCAAAGGAGGAGAAAGGGAGGAATCAAGTTGGATTAGGGAGAAACAAGCACAGAAAATATAGGGATAAGTTCTCCAAAAGTATGAAGGAACATCAAAAGAAGACAAGCCTTCAATACGCAGGTTAGTTGAAATACCCAGACAAATATGCTTACCTCCTGACCCAATTCACAAGCCATCTGGCTCAAAAGTAATGAAAAAACACTTGTATTTTGTAGAAGAACTCTCCCCATGACGCCCAGATAAGTAGACATCACCATTGGATATCTCTGAAACAAAAATAAACCAGAAAAATAAATATTACTAAGAAAAAAAAATTAGCATACAAATAGATATACACAGAAAGTATTGGATGCTTCTTTGATGTATTTTATTAAATTAAAAATTTAATTTAATTACTACCCCTCAGAATACATATAAAGAACTTATTAGCAAGGGGTTTCCTGGTTCTCAAAAACAGGAAAGCTGTAGCAATCAAGTTCAATTTTCACCAAAGACAACTGAAAATGACCTTATATTACATTTTAAATTCTGCATCTTAAGGAAAAAAATATATTGTACTATTTAAATTGTATCTTAAAGTTGATTACGATTAAATATTACTATTTTAATGACATTTAGAAATGCTTAATATTTTTAAAATTAAATAGTTTCTTTGAGAGAAATTAAATACATTTGCCAAATCATAACTTGCCAATGTTTCATAGCTAATTGGAAGCACTAAAAAAAAACTCATTAGTTTACTATGGTTAGTTATTAATTTTCATTTTGAAAAGAAAACACAAATTTATTTGTATTATGCAGCATTCAGCAAGACTAACTGCTGGAACTGCTTACCTGAAAACCAAAAAGTTTACCTGAAAAATCTATTAGTGAACATGCAAGATTAATAGATTTTTGACTATTAGTAAATGCAATAATTATGGTCTTCAAGCAGAACGTCTCTTAACAATCTACTCTGTTTTAGACTGGATAGTTTTGAATCTTTCAAACAACAAATTGTTCTAACAAATTGGTTTTTTTTTGTATTTTATACAATAACCAATATATTGCTAAAGTAATATTGCTTTGTTTAATCTTGGGAATATCTCAGTTAATTATGGTGGGAGCCAATGTTGTTACTTGGAAGGCTTTTACTCTGAAAAAATCTAAGGTTTTGCTCAAAAAGGCATAAACACTGAGGACTCCCACACTGACTTTTCTCACAAAAAATACATTTTTTGTCTTGTTAGTGCTGCAAACCTCAACAGTTTTTTTTTTTTTAAAAAGTATTTGAATTCTTTTGGTCCAACACCAGAACTTCTTGACAGCAAAGACTTGTGCAAAGATCACTCACAGAAGGAGAAAACAAATGAAAGCAGGGCATTAAAATTGTTCAGACAAGCATTTGGTATATCTCAAGATGCTGCAAGGCACCTCATATACATATTATTTCCTTTTCTGTGATTTCTGGGGTATGAGCTGGGATAGCAAAGAGCCCTCCACTACAGTAGCCACTCAGAAGTGTAATACTTCACTCATTTACTCCATTAATGTGGAAAAATGATAATGGGAAAAGTAATATCCCAGCTATTACTAGTAATTTATAAATGATATTTATAATTTATACCTTTATACCTGTTTAAAAAAATAAAAAAAATAAAAATGAATATAATATTCCACACTAGTGAAGTAAGAATTAAACTAAAGTATACTGAGTGTTTATATAACAGCAACATCAAAAGGAAGAACTTAAGACCGTCTAAGCGAAAAATATATCCTAAAGCCTCTCATATTTAACAGGAGCTGAATGATGTGATAACATTCAGTTATATCAGCAAGAAAAAGAAGCTGGAGACAATCTCCTTCCTTCCCCGCTCATTTTCCCCTGCTGCATGTGACACTTAGCAAGGGGGAGTTTGTACTAAACAAGACCTGACAATAAAGCCTTCAACACCTACAAAGATCTGACAGAGTATTACCAATGTTACCATGCCACATTTTCAGTTTTAACAGTTCAGAAACAGGATAAAATCTGTGTCATTTCATTGAAATAAACCCTGGATGACAGCAAAAGTGATGAAATATGCTGCTTTAAGAAGATTTGGTGCTACTATGGCAACAGTTACTCTAAGTATACAAAGACCTAGTAGATGCACTTAAAACTAGAAAGAAAGAAAATAAAATGAAAGTAAAGCCAGATAGGAAGGTACTTTTAACTTATGGTAACAAGGAGTTGACAGCAGTTAAAAATAGTAATTCTTACCTCCCCATCTATAATTCCCCTAAATACTGATGGAAGAAGAGGTTGAAACATTTGAGGCCCCAAAACAGGGTTTACTTTTAGGACATTTTCCACAACCTTAAAAACAAAAGCAAATTAGACTTTAGAAACTGTAACTAAAAATTCTAGCTTTAGAAATTGTTCCAAATTAGACTATTTGGAAATTGTAACAGAGATTTAAAACTACGTATACTGGTCTATAAATTGTCCTGCTGTTAGAATGTTTGCTGCTATCAGAAACAAGCAGGATTACAGTTCATTTCAGAAGAGTTCAAAGCTAAAAGAATGCTCTAGTGAAGCACTCTGCAAGCCTCATCTGAACAGCAGAACTGTAAGACCTGACACATCAAGGGAAAATAAGGGGCTACCAGGCCAAGCACCCGCCAGCCCAGGCCAAGCTGGCAAGCCAGGGATCTGGGAAAAGCAGCTTGATGAGAGGAGCTGGAAGGCAGTAATCCCAGCAGTTTGGGGATCATTTCTATTCCTCTGTCCTGCCACCACTGCATGGGACCAGCAGGTCCCTAGATGTATTCATGCTTACCTACTAACCTTAAACATTGTAAAATAGAATGCTGTGAGCAGTGACTTGGCTGCTCTTGAATATGAAGCAGAAATTAAATAAAATAATTTCAGTTTTCAAGTCCCATCTCATAGGAATTTTCAAAATAACCACAGGAAAGGAAAGCTTCCTTGACAACTAAGCAGTTCTTTCAACAACCTCTTTTCTACCAGAAAATATGTATCCACTTACCTAAAAAACTTCAAAGCCAGTCATTATAGTAGAAGGACAGATGGAATTGTTTAGATTTTCATGCCATACGAATAAATTCTCAACTTCCTTAACACTTGCCATTGTTGCTGACAGAATTAACACAGCAACCATGTCAACTGTGGTAGAATATCCATAAATCCAGTCTTTATGTACTCACACCTCCAAAAGCCATTTAACTCACAAGAATCTATTGTAAAGATCAGTACTTTCTTCCCACTCTTACCCTTCACTTAATTTGCTTTATTACCTTTCTCCTTTCTCTTTTTAATACTACTCAAAGCAAGCAAGCCATTCACAAATTAATTTTGCCTTTTTATTTTTTATACTTTGGCCCTACTGAACTCCTCCATGTAGAACAGTTCTAGCTCACATAGTACTCTCCATTCCAAAATCCAATTAGAATTAAAAAATTTTAATTAGCTTTTTACATATTCCAACAGTACACTGATGTACAAAGATTAATATAAGCCACTTGATATCAACATACTCCTAATTCTGCTACTGTATACTGAAGAATGTTGACGTAACCTTTTTTTCAATCTTATATATTTATATATATTAAATATATATATATTTATAAACAAACATTACAAGGCATCTAATTTATGCACATTCTTTATAACAAGTGATATTCTTAGTGCTCCAAGATTCCTGAAAGCAATCCCATGTTCACAATACAGTGTTTGGCCACCTGCCTGTAAAGGGTAGGTATGATATTGCCAGGACATGATACAATTAAAACAGTTAAGATAACAAAGCTGAATAAACTGAATAACAGTGTGTATTAACATTATTTTGATTACACGCTACCTTTAAAACTTGAACTTGACCTTCGATAGTTATATCCTTTAAGAGTTCACAAAATGACCGGCACAAGTCGGTAGCATACATCTGAAATTAAATGAGGAAAAAATACAAGTAAATATATTTTAACTCTATGTATATGCATTCCAAAACTCAGCAGTGTTACATATGTCAGACGACACAGCTGTTCTTCAATGATCATGGCTGCTAAAACTCGTATTTCCTGAACAAATCAAATTTAATGAAAGCTTTGTCAACAATCAGTCCCAACGAACAAGATTTCTAGCTGACTCCTTCATAGAAATTATGATCATAATTTGAATCCTGAGAAGATAGTTAGCAAAGTAGTAACTATTATTAACCTTCCCAGGGCCTTTCCAGGCATCAAAGTATTAAATCAATTCACGAGAATCTTAACTCTAATTAATAACTTTTCTGAAATCTGATTTTACTGTGCATCCACTATATGTACTATAAAGAGCTAACTAACATCAGGAAAGTGTGCCTATATACATACAAATGAATGAATGGGAACATGCATGCTTCTAGATGTGTGGTATTTCCCAGCGCAAGAGGAAAAACTTAGGTGGACAATAAGGAACAATAAGGAAGGTGCTAATATGAAGCTTTACACAATGGTAATGTACCTGTAAAAATTCAGATGAAGATAAGAAAATATAACCATTGATGATCTTAAAGCAATTTTTGAGGTTTTCCGAACTCAGCTCTGGAAAAAAGAAATTACAATTAAGAATCTCATCAACAAACCAAAACACAACTGGAATAATTCACTTCTAAATGCCTGTTTTCTCACATGGCTTGCAAGTGCCAGATGCCTACAAACATAAGAAAAGTTATGCTTGGTTCCAAGAAGAACTTGATTCTCATTGCCAGAGGCGAAAAGAAAATTAAAAAAAAAAAAAAAAGCACAAGGAATCTACTATCGCCCCAAGAGCCAATGCTAATCAAGAAAAAAATAAGTCAAGTTTAGGGTGTTACTGAAGCACATGTAACATACTTAAGAAACTTAAGAGAATCCTTAATTACCAATAAATTACATCTCATTCTGTGCCAATAAATGTTGGCTAGAACTAGCGAAAGACTAAGCAGAGTCATGGTCATCTGTCCAAGATACTATATTAAATGGTATTGAGGTTTTGAATGTAGCTATAGAATGAAGACAAATGCTGCTATCTCTAAGTACTATTTATTCATTAGCAATCTCGCATACACAGAGAAATAAGAGGCCTCATCTACACCCCACCCACTGTGAGGCCATGGTCTATTAAACCCTAGGTCAGCGAAAAAAAAAAAGAGAAATTAGTGACCAATTACAATGCCAACTTTTGTAATTTTCACATAAGTTTCTGAAAAAAAAAAACTTGCTGTTAACTATTAGCTCCACAGCCTACAAAAGAAAGGATGAAACTTTCATTAAACAAAATTATATTTACAAGAACCCAAAATTTTTATTATTTTTATATTCCCATTAGTAAACTAATTAGTTAAAAAAAAAAAAAAAAAAACAACACATTTCCTCAGCTCTGAATCTTAATCATCATCAGTAAGTTTTTATTTTGTCAACAACTCAAGCAAGACTACAGCTTTTCAATTTCAGGGCTGCTCAACTCATACATATCCAAAGAAGACATATTTAGATAGCTGAAAAACATCCAAATTCATTGTTAACTTCATAACGGAAAAGCTAATTAATGGAATTCAATAGTTCAGACTAGAAATCATCATTCTGGTTATAAGCAGACTGGACAAATATTTCATATAATCAACATCAGTAAAATCCAGAACATTTGGTGATAAAAATCTCAGGGACTTCCATAATACATAAACCAATTTCATGGAGCACCTGAACTATTTCCTCTACTCTTCTTTATTTAAGGTTAAAAAACACAGTACACAGTAGAGCTGTTACACTTCTTAATTTAATTCTGCCAAAAAACGGGTTTGCAGCCACACAGTTTGGGTTAGCACTGAATCTTAATAGCATTAACATTGAGCATATGCATGGCAATTGCAAATTTTCCACGTTGGGCAGCCTATCAATTTAAGAAAGAAGTAATAGATGAAGATCACAGAAAATATCCAATGAACTAGAATAATTGAGTAAAAGTCACCCGTAACTTCAATGAGTCCAAAATTACAAGCTTTGCTTATAAACTATTCTTAAACTCTTTTTACAGTTCTACGTCAATAAAGTTTATTTCACCTTTTGAGTACAAAGCAGTTTCAATTTATTTTAAAAAGAAAATCTTTACAATAAATACACAACAAATGAAGAAGATGGGAAAGCTGAACAAAATCCTGATCTTGATTGAATAGTAACAATTTTGCTAACCATTTAGCTTTTGCAGCTGCAATAAAGTTCTTTGAAGGATATGAACAACACTGGCTGTTAGAAGAACACTGGAAGTTTTGTTAGTAAAAGACTCACCAAGAAGGGCAGACATGTTCTGAAATATTCTCAGGAGCTCCGGTGTAAGACAGGGACTATTCTCCAATGTTACTAACCTAAGGATAGATAAAGTGAAATTAGACCACCTACACATAATGGAGAGTGATAATTTTGACAGATGCAAAACACTGCCAAGGCCTGGTAACAACGTGTATAATCTTTCAGTTAAATACTAACAACAGCTTGAGGACTGTTTCAAGTTACAACGTTACCATGGACCTTGTTAATGCAAGAAAACAAAAAGGCATTCACACTACTAAAAGCAACATAGCCTCAAAAAAGCAGCCGTGGGAGTGTTTAAGGATTTCAGCAGCCAGGAGAAGAGAAAGGACAAGAGAAGGACATTCAGCATACAGGAAAACGCTTGGAGTATTTGAGAACCTCCAAGTTGATGCTGCAGCCAAATGCCCAGAACTGCTGCACCAACAGCAGTTGTATCAATCTGTATCAATAGTAATCAATTACATCATTTTAAAAATCCTGTGGTTTGAAAAACACTGAATATCAATCAAGTGCTTATGTTTAGAAAACAAAACAAAAAAGACACCACTCGCACCACTACCAAAAAAAAAAAAAAAAAAAAAGGACACAAGCACCACCATCACATTCCAGCGTGTCCCAACAGTTTAGGCGAAGGACTATGGTATCTAGTTGACATTTTAGGTGGTATAAAATATCTCAGCTGGCCTACAGTTGCTTTTTCTGGAAGCAACTGGAGTCTTGTAAGTCCTGGCATTGCCTCACAGCTCCATCCTGAAGCCCTAGGAAATCTTTAAAAGAAGGAGCTTACACACATATGAATAATTCTCTCAAGATCAGACCAAGAAAAAACATAAAGTTGTGAGGTGATGCACTAAAAAGGTCCCTAGTTTAAATTTCTTCAAGATCTCACACTTCAAAGTACCTCCCCCACCATCAAAAGCCTTTTAAATCTTAGTTTTGCTTCAGATAAAACAGGCCATTTGCAGGCTAACTATTTGTAATTCAAATGCCTATCTACAGTCTAGATCAAAGGAATCCTATTCCTTTCACTATTTCAGAATCAAGTCAATATACATCAATTTCCATGAAAGAAATGTCTGAATGTCTGGATGTCTGAATAATTGATTTTTCTTTTAGAGTTCGCCTGCACCAACAAGCAAATTAACCTGAGGGTTAATCGCCCCTGAGGGATTTTATCGCCCCTCACTGTTTTAGTTCAGACAGCTCGCATTTTGGAAGATAAGGAGCTGGGCCTGTTCAGCCTGGAGAAGAGAAGGCTGAGAGGGGATCTAATCAGTGTCTATAAGTACATCAAGGGAGGGAGTGCAGAGGACGGGGATGGTCTCTTTTCAGTGGTGGCCACTGACAGAACTAGAGGAAATGGCTGCAAACTGAAGCACCAAAAGTTCCACAGGAACTTAAGGAAAAATTTCTTAACAGTGAGGGTGACAGAGCACTGGAACAGGCTGCCCAGAGAGGTTGTGGAGTCTCCTTCTCTGGAGATCTTCAAAACCCGCTCGGACGCAGTCCTGTGCCACGTGCTCTAGGTGACCCTACGTGTGCAGGGGGGCTGGACTAGATGACCTCTAGAGGTCCCTTCCAGCCTTAAGCATTCTATGATTCTATGATAACTTCTCTAGTAGTTCACTCCTTAAAATTGCATCTCTTCTGGCATCCAGCTCTTCAAATCAATGGGCTGTCGTATTCCCTAAGTGAACCAAATAGTTGCCTCAACACTAATATTGTAGGGACACTAGATTTTTCACATTGCTGTTCATTATCATAACACAAATGTATTTTGCTAGCAATTGCCTGCAATGGATTTTGTACTCAACTGGTTACTTCTAATTGTGCTTCTTTCATTAACTTCCTAACTAAACCGTCTTTGGAGAAAAGATATGAAATAGATGACATCAGGGTCTATATAGATAGAATATATAAGTACTTAATAAAGTCAAAGTCTTTGTAAATCTTTTTTTTCATTTGTTGGCTTTTTCTGAGGATAAAAATAAGTTTTAAAATTAGAGTTTGATGAAGAACACTCTTACCACAATTCTAAACCATCTTCCAGAAGATAGACATGTGGAGGCTGGGAAACATCTGTACTTAGCTGAATCACGGGAAGTAGAAAAGGATAGAGATTTTTGCTGTCCGCTCCCAGTCCCTATAAGAATAAACAAAACATTTAAAACACCTAAAAAGAAAATCTTTCAAAAACTATTTCAAGAAGAGCACTGAAAAAGATTCAGGATGCTCCTCTAGTTCCATAGAGGAAATAAGACCAAAGGATATCGAGCACAGATTAAATGCATTATGTACAAAAAGAAAGCATTTACAGTTTGATACTCCTTAATTTTCAACAAGTCTTGTGAAGAGTTACTTGAGCTTTTGAGGAACAAGAGACTTATCAATGGTCTGCAAGGATAACTACAAACAATACAGTCTTAAAACATCCTTTAGTTGTTTTCTTTCTGTTAAAGGTCACAGCTCTAACAAATGCTAAACACTGAATTAAAAGTGTTAAAGACAGAGGCAGAAACACTGTTGGACATATGCAAATCTTCCATATCTAAATTTTTTGACATGTTCTAAGAATCAGGAAATAGTTTGCATTTGTTTCTTAACAAAGATTAATATACTGATGACAGCAATTATTCTATTTTTTAAGTGATCGAGGAGTCTGAGACGCAGAACGATACTTACCCAAGGACACCTGGCAGAATTTTTTCAAAAATCACTTAATAATAAAATACAACTAATTCATAAAATAAGGTTATTAGTGTTCTAATTAATAATCAATTAAAACTAATCTTACAAATACTAGAATTATTACATTAGCAACAATTGGTTATTTTTTGATATTCCTCATCAGGTGAAATGAGGATAGATGAAGCACGAATCCTGTTTCTGTGTAACTACCATTTTTTGAATCATTAAAGCTTTAATTTATTTGACATCTCAGCTAAGGCTTCTTTCTGGAATAATTCCCACACACTTTTATAAATACATAATCTGAATGCTATTTTTAGGGGGAGCTTTGGAGAAAGGGCTGAAGCATATAAAACAGAGAAACTTCCTTTCAACTCATTTTCAGAATGACATACTATCAGCCAGTTAACTCTTTAAAAAGGCAAAACATTTCTGGACATACAAGCAATATAATCACATATTCAGCTTTATTCTTCACTATTTTCCTCAATACTTACTATATCCCATTTGCATTTTTACTCAATCACAAATATTCTTAAATATTTCCAATTTAAGAATTAATTACTAATAGCAAGATCTTTTCCCTTAGTGATAACAAATTCAGGTAATTTATTTCAACCCTTACCTTTAGATAAAGCTGGCAGCTAGCCACTTTGATAGGCTTTCAGAAAGTCTCTCACAAAGTACTTACATTGAGCCTTTAGAAGAATGAGGGAGTTTGCTACACTGCTTTTCTACAGATCTATGTTAAAGTACCATCCTGAACAGAGGCTACTCAAAGAACAAAACTTACATGGCTACAAAGTACCATCAACTTCCCTTCTTAGAACAAAACCACTTAAATACAGTTATTAGTGCTACGTAAAAAAAACGGGGGTCAAAGTTATCTGGATTTTTTGAGTTTTGAAGACTGTAAGAAGGTCTTACATGAGCTAAACAGGCTTAGCTAAATGAATAACCTAGAGTTGATTTACGTAGTCTGATAAGCAATATATTCTGTTATGAAAAAGTTTTTCAAAACAAACAGTCTACAAAAAGTCTACAAGATGGACAGGAAAAAAGAAAATGGACCTGTGAATCATTATATTCATCTCTATTCTCAAAAATACTACTGCACCGAGAAGCTCTAGTTATGAGCAAAAACAAGGTGATAGGAGTCCTGCTCAAACGGGACTTTAAAGCTCTGACCTTGCCACTTTAAAACAGACATTGAAAAATCAGACAACCAAGTATAATTAAAGGGAAGATTATGGACATACATAAATTCTCAAGAAAGAAAAAGAAAAGTCAAAGACTGGAATACAACTAACTGTAGATGTGGTAAAAGTCTTATATATAAGTGGGCAGATCAAACTTTTATAAACTCTGCTTCATAACAGCGAGAGAGAATGTCTTAAAAGTTGAGAAATTTCAGGAGGAACAAAGTAAGATTTTTCCATATGCTATATAATAATGTTGCAGTAATCACTGCAAAAATATATGTCAGAAGTGTCAGAAGTTATGAGGTAAAAAGGTAGTGGTAGAAATAACAATAAAAACTTTGGATTTCCAAAGAAATGTCAAAATACATCCTGAGAGATGTTAAGCATAATGGCTAGAATTTAAACAGCAAGGTAAACATTTGATGCTAATCTTCTTTAAAAGAACAAAAGCAAAGGCATCAGAGCAAACCTGACTGTGTTGGTCTCTATTTTAGTCTATGATCTTAGAGTGTCTCATGAGAAAATTCACAGAATTTTTGTAACTGAAATAGAAAATTCCACATTCCTGAGAGATAATGAAAGAACACAATGGAGAAATGAGCAGGACTACACTGCAGAATCAAATCGGAACTATAAATAATAACTGAAGAAGAGTCTGACACCCCTAACACATTCTGGGAAACAAAATTCCAGAATGGGCTGTTTTCCACCCAAAGAAGGTAATGATTCCAAGACTAAAAAAAAAAAAAAAAAAACCCTAGGGCAGCAGCATCCAGAATTCAGGCATTTTTCTCCCTGTTTTTACTGAACTGTTTTTTACTGAAATGCTTGTTTCAACAATCAAAGTACCATATTTTTATAAAAAGACTGAACGACAAATAGAAATACTCTAAAAAAAGCAAAATACATCTTATTTTTGCTTTTATATGTATATGTATGTAAACCCTAAGCATGTATGACAGGGTAGAAAAAGATAGTGGCATCATTTATGGAACTGTCACACCTTACCTGAACAAGGTGGATTAGGCTGGTTAGAATGGCACATCGTAGCATATTGTGCTCCTCACTCTGTTTCCAAAGCAGGGGTAAATATTGAACCAAACATCCTACATATGGTCGTATCTGAAGTTCAGAACATAAATTTTTGTCTTAATGTGTGAAACAAGGTCATTAATTTATCCCAGGCTTAATATTTGAAAGATTTAGGATCTACTTTTGTCACAATAGAAATACAATCTGCTTTCATTTACTGCTCTTTCTCCCTTCTAAAACATCATATTCCATACTGTGTGACCAGAATGACTTCTGACTCTATAGTGTTCTGAAAAGAATATATTAGTTATGCTGGCATTTGTGAAATAAGGCTTAAGGAGTATACACAGCACAAAATCATTGGACTTTGACATCTGAAGATGCTCCTATATCACTGTTTTTCCATTTGGACAGGATTACTGAAAAACTGCATTCTCAAAAAACAGAAAAAAAATCCCTAAAAATAAGTATTAGAGTTGTTGCAGAATGCACTGCTCTGAATAGACTTAAAAGAACAACACTTAACTTGTTTTCCTGTTATTTCCCTGGGTAATAAAAGATGCAAGGGAACTTGCTCCCACGTTGACTTTTTCTCCAAAGGACAATTAGAAAAACTACATTTGGCTCTAAGAGAGGATTACTTGTAAAAGGAAAAGATAGGCTTCAACCATGTATTATTTCTGTTTTAATTACAGCACTGCCATGAAAAACAAGAAACAGCAGCAGACAACAATTCATTTCCGCGAGAATATTGTCAATTTCTTTAAGTTTGAGCTGAAAAAAGTAGAAAGCTCTCAAAATTGATAATCTGGATTTGAAACCTTGGTATGCAGCTAGGGATAGTACTAAGATGGATTCTATCTGTTCTCAAAAAAATCAAAACAAACAAAAAATGTAAAAAACCATAGCAAATTTATAAAAGCATTAACAAAAAAAAAGAATCAAGAGCATGTTACACAAAAGGAGATCAGTGGAAAATGAGATCAGGTAAAGCAAATAATGTATGCGTCTACCATAATAATGATCAGAATTTTTTCTTTTAAGAAATACCTGCATATTGACTCTTTCAATCACACAAGACAGAACATGAAGAACATGCATTTTGGTGTCACATTCTGTAACTTCCTGAAGCAGCTGAAAGAGCAGTGTAAACATGGATTCCAGATACTAAAAGAAAAACAAACAACAGAATAGACCATTAAAAAAAAAGGTGATACAAATCAGCACTTATTCCCACATGCTTACAACACTGACTTAAGACTTCTGTGCACCTTGAACAACACATGCAGAATGTGCAAAATGTTTCTCTTTCCTTTGCAAAATGCATATTAACCACTCACAGATTACAGATGATTATATAAAAAATTTCAAGATACTCCTGTGTAACACTTCAAGAACATGATCTAATTTAGAGCATATGGTTGTCATGTTTTAAGAAACATGACTTCACAGATAAGATCATTTACAGTCAAAAGCATCTCTCCAGAAAAAAACATTTTATAGAGAGTTATACGCAAAGTTATAAACTCTTCCAGCCTCTAGGTCAATAAATAAAATTCAGATTTTGAACTGAAAGGGCATCTTAAACAACTTCAGCATAGATAACGTAGCGTGTAGAAATTCCAGTGCTGATGCACTTCACATTTTCATCTAGACTGTTCCCAAAAGAATTGTGACCCAAATGCGAAAAAAATACAGTTGGCAAATTTGTGAGACCAGTATAAATCCTTCCTGTATTTATATTTACAGTTAATATTTCACTGTTTATGTAATGCCAGCACTAATGACCACAACAAAGAACATCCAAACAGGAAAGCAAGAAAATGCTTCTATATTCAGAAGATGCTTTTGTAATCAACTATCTACAGTTAGAGTGTATGTTTGTGTGTAATATATATAAAATATATATTACATATATAGCTTATATGTGTGTATATATATTACGCATATTGTTAGATATATATATTTTACATACATATATATATGTATTAAAAAAAGTGCTTGGAAAAGGCATATTGGAAAGGAAGCAACACTGATAAGGAGGCTTATTTTTTTTGAAAACAGCATTTGTGCCAGGAAAAAAACCCCAGTACCTTGCAGTACATGTTCTATCTAGTACTAAAGACAACTGTAGCAAGTTGTAGTATCTATAATAGTAAGAGATTTTGAAATGTATCTGTAAACAGCACATCAGAAACCACAGAGGCAGGTGGAATCTTCAGACGTTTTGGCCAAAGATTAAATATATATATGCACACACACAGCTTACTGAATAGTCTGGTTAGATAGGTTAAAATGAACTTGGAAATGATCTTTTTCTGCTTTGCTTCAAAGAATCTGCTCATGAAAATACTCCCAATACAAATGCTCTTACTGGTAAGAACTGGTCAGTTCTGAATTTGAAGTCATCTACAGGTAAACAGTCATTAAGGGAAAATTGAGTACTGAGTGACAAATAGATGAGAGATCAAATAAACAAATACAGTATAGCTGTATGACATTTGTCAGGTAAAGAAAGAATTCATGAGTAAATCCCAAATCATTTATCTTCCAGTCACTTCGAAATAACTTATCAAAAATCTTATGAGAAGGATATTTAACTTCAGTGTTGTAGCTGCCTCTATACGGACCTGAAAGACAAAAAGAAAAAAAAAAAAAAAAACAGAAACCATCACACTTATCACAATATCTTCAAATAGTAAACCATTTGTTTTGACAATTGAATCCTCCCACACATTCTGTCATCTTCGAAGATACTCCATTAGTTCAGCACAAGTATATTTTTGTTTAGAATCTTTTGAAGTTCATTTGGCAACGTTAAAAAGATAACATCCGGGGGAAGAAAAAAAAAAAAACAGGCAATACCCTTAAAGGGTCAAGAAAGACCTGCATAAGAAGGTAGCTAGCCTGTAATAAAGGTTGTTGCAGTGGAGAACGATTTTAATCTCAGATTGTCTTACGGCTGTCACTTAAAAAGCTCAGAATCACAGATCAGCTCTAGCCAGCAAAACAGATGTCCACAAAGCATTAACTATGGAAACAGCCATGACACACTGAAACAGGAATGCACCCTGCTTTGATAATATTGTCTGGAATCACCAAAGTAAGTGGCAGACTGCAGAACTAAAACTTTTTGCTAAGGGCTAGGGTTGTGGGATTTTGCTTTTTGTTCTGCTTTTGTTTTGTTTGCGTTACCTTCCCAGCTTCCAGTTAACCTGCTGGCTTCAAACCAGAGAACCCTACATGACCAGTTTCTGCTAGCAGGAGAGAAATACGCTGGTACTTATTCTCTGTAATACAGAATATTGTTCCATCACAAAATAAACCTTGGTTTTCCTGTAGAAAGCATTCAAGAGTTTATGAATGATCAAACCTTTTACCCAAAGGCAGATGGCTGCTATTGCCAATCATTTCCCTACCCTGAGAGCCACCATCTAGAAAATACAGTAAGGGTTCGTTTCATGATATGATGTTTTATAGTTTTTAACTAAGTTTATATAAGAGATGGTATGTTTTGAATTAAATGCTTGCCTTGTAAAAAGATTAAGTGTCTATTCATAAATACTTACCACTAAGTCTTGGTCGTGAAGCAAGTTACGAATCGCCTCATATAACATAGGCCTCAAATCTGATTTAAATTTTACAGAAATCCATTGTCCAATCAGCCAAATTACTCGTCGGCGTATTGGCTTATACCTTTAAAATTAGTTAAAAAAATTTAACAATTTATACCTTTAAAAAATAATAAAATAACTTATATACATATATATATATATATATATATATATCTCATTGTACCTCACAATTCATTACCCGTCCTCTCTAAAATACTATGATAGAAGGAAAATCTAAGTAGAGCTAGGAGATATTATTTCTTGAGACTATTATTAATTTATTTAGTTTGTAAAGACTAACTTCCAAATTTTAATGTATGCATTTTTTTAATCCAACCTTTTCATTGCCAAACTCAGGCAACACCAATGTATGGCTGAAAGAAAAGCACCTCTCCTAAAGGACTAAAGGAAAGTATTGCTTGAAACAGTTTATTCTACATACAACACACGAATAAAAGAAACTGAGAATACATCTTCCCTTTACTACTGTCACCATGACTTCAACCATTTTTACCACAATTTCCAGCAATTTTCTTGAAAGTCCTTTTATGCTTAATCTTTGAAGCTGAAAACAGTTTATGAAAATCAAACTTAACTACTGCATTGCAGAAACTACGAGTGTATTTCATGTCATCAGCATAAAAATATTCTAAGAAATTTTCAGAATAACTGACACTAACCAGCGCAAGGAACAGCATTATACAGCTTTAGGAGTCGGCAGGAAGAAGAGATAACAAGTAAACTGAATTGCTCAACATAAAGATTCACAAACACCGTCCTTGGAACTACTATTCCTCTACACTGATTATAAAGAATACTTCAGATTTAAATGTTTAACTTGCAGATACATACAAGCAAACAGATTTTATACAAAAAATCCAAGTAACAAGCTATTTTGTCTTGTTATTCTATTTTTATATGGTCCATTTTATTTTACAGCAATGATATCAATCCAAACCAAAGTTGCTAAAAATGAAGAAGCATCAATAAATCATTTATTGAGCATTTCCATAAGATTATTAACAAAGTACATCCTGTGAGAACATGAAATTTTAACGTAAGGAGCCCACAGTTCGCTAGGCCATCTTGCAAAGCAAGCTAGTGACAAAGACGATACCATTGTCACTTCACATTTATTGAGTGGCAGCGACACACTTTTTTTTCTGCAAAAAAAACATGATGTTCACAATAAGTTGTCTTACTAATGCATCTCCTTCTAAGTATTCAAGCAATTGTGATGATCTGACTCTTCAGTTCTTGTGATAGACAGAGTTGATGTGCAACCTTGTAAACACTAGATTCTTGGAAAAAGTTTTTCTTGAGACTATTCTTAGTTTTCAAAACGACATTACACCAAAACCAGCTCTAAATGACACTTCCCATAAGCACATAGCCACCTGCTTTTCTACTATACATTAAACTGAACTATATTTGTAAAGGAAATGCTTGTAATTGGCATTTGTAACTAAAGAACCTGGCTGACATCTGCTTTTAGAAAATAATTTACGATTGTTACAGTAGCTCCTAGTTAGTCCATGCTTCATTTCACCTTACTTACCTGAATTTCAACCCTAGAAGGAAAAAAATAATAAAGCTTTTCAAAGGATATTGAAATGACTGCCAGTGACTTTAATAGAGAAAAACAGTACATACTTATCCAAGCTCAAAGGGTGATAGGGAAGTCACCTGATGATGATATCCTGTAAATTAGCATTTACTGTCCTTCCCCTGAGGCTCACAGTTTTCCCTGTCCAAGCCCTCAGGCTGACAGCCTGAGGAACACTGCCTTCCTGGTCAGTTGTAACAATGGACAACTCTGTCTATACTGAGATGCCAGGGTTGATCTTTCATAACACCTATGATATGCACTAAAGAAAAGAGAGGGACCCAACAAGAAGGCCAACCAAATTCAGAGAACCTGAATGGGGAGGAAAACCCCAAGCAAATGGACTACATAGTGTTCTTTACATAAAAACAGACTGTAATCATCCACACTGTCAACTTTACAACACAATCCCAATTTGTCCTTATTTCCTTTGTAGTTGGTAAAATTAATTGGAGTGCTACACAGGGCTTGTATTTAAATCAGTAAAGAATATATCGCTATTTTGGCTAAGCTACAGTTTTGAAGATATCACTTCAATGAAACCTTTATTGCCCAAATGGCTCTGAGGACTCTGAGGCATTTAAATATCTTCCTTTAAATGCAGAAATACGACTGTGCTGATAAAGTTTAGTCAACCCAACTATAGATTTATAACACTTTTACACAACATTATGAAAGTAGTCATGACCCAGTAATTGACCCATATTATGATTATGAAGTTTCATGAACACTATGATTTCTGCTATCGTATCAACTGTCTTTAGATTTAACATGTCTCTGCCCATTTAGTAGTCATGTTTAAACACCAAATACCTCCCAGATATCCAGTTGTTAGATGATTAGGTATCCTTATCAAACTGGTATCATCCAGTTACATTACAAGAGACAAAAAAAGACATGAAGGTTATGAAAACGTTACCTGCTATGAAAAACTTGTAGTTCTGCTAGTAGCTGATTTTTAAACCACTGATCAAAATCCACACTATCAAACAATTCATAAGCTGCAAGTCCAATAGCATTATACACTGCAGAGGGCAAAAAAAACAAAACAATAAAGTTATGCTTGTCGTCTGCTTAAAGTTTTCTTTGTTAATTCTAAGTTACCAGCTTAAAGTTTCAAGAAATATTTTTATATTATCAGAGTGCAATAAAGAAAACAAAACTGATCTATATACTCTGAAAACAGATATTATCACACGAAGGTGAAAGGCATTCTGAAAAAAAATTTTATTAAAACTACAGAAAAAAAATATTCATAGAATTTTGAAAACAGTTCCAAATCATAGTAACAATGAAAACGTCACTCTAACAGTAAGAATCATTCCATGATTTCAGCCTTAGATAATCCTTTTCTTCCACCACAGAAATCTCCTTATTGACAAAATGGACAAAGTTTTTCCATCAAAATGTAATAATTACATTTTTTGCTGATGGGAAAGGATGATGGGAAAAGAGAGAAAGGGACTTTGGGTTTGTTCTACAAAAATGCAGAAGAGCACCATTTTTGCATATTAACATTTCTAAAATTTAACACTGACTGCAAGTGCAAAGAGAATTACAATTTAAATCCTATTTTCTAAGTGTTTTAAAATCAAATCTTGCAAATTCTTTATATATTTTTTAAGGAGTCAGTTGTAACAGTAGCTTTGTCCCTTCAAAGGTAAAGAAAAATTTGATTTACCAGCATCTTTAATCAGTATAGCACTGGTATCTTCCATGTTGGTTGTTCCTGCAAGACAAAATTAAAATAAACAAAAAACCTAACAAAACAGAAAAAACACAAGCAAGATGTTTGTTTAAATGAAGTAACCTACAGCAAAGACTAACAGCTTAACCACAAACAATAAGCAACTCTTATTTTTAAAACCACACCTCCAGCACCATCCCTGAATGTTTTATTTACAAGTTCAGAACATACTAAAGTCACGCTTCTGCTTTGATACCCTAATTAACCAGTGTCCTCTGAACTGAAATAACTTTAATAGTGACATTTAAATCAGAAGAATACTTAAGAAAAAGACTTAAACTACTAAGGAATCAGAAGATACTGAAGAATAACTACTGCATGGTAATATGTTAAAAAAGTCACTACCTAGAGTTAGTTCGTATGTACTTCTTATACGTGTCACAATCTATATTTAGAATTCATTAAAAAGTACATTTAAAGTTGTCTAGAATCTTGAGAATTAATCAAAGTGTTTCTACAACAAGTCTCATATTGACAAGATCCATAAATGCTATTATGTATTTTAGAGCAGAAAAGCATCCCTTAGCATGGAAGTAGTTACTTGCACAATATTTGTAAATCAAAAGTCAATCCTTTCGTAATAAAAATTGTAGCATCGCAGCTACCAAACCATCCTGAATCTTATGAGCATGGAGTACTGTGTAATGAAATTCTGGATCTGAAATCAAAGCTATGCTCAGGAAATCAATCATTAATACTAGCTAACAGAATATACTAATCCATTCTGGTAAGTTCAAATGTAAATTACTACAGCAGCTCATTTAAGGTACAACCTGGGGAAGTCAAACCTAAGCAGAAATTAGAAGAAAAACCAAGTGGCAGCTACCATTCACTGTCTTTCACAGGCATTGACTCAGTTTATGAGAGGAAGAAAATGTGAATCATTCGTCAGCCTATGAAGACTTCTCTCTTCATAAAGGAAAAAAAAAAAAAAAAGTAAACTTAAACACATTCTTCAGCTGCCTCAGACTATTCAAATGACAGCACAACCTCATCTTGGTTCTACAGTGGTTTTGTTTGTTTTTGTTTTTTGGGTTTTTTTTTTTTTTTTTTTTTTACAACTTATGCAGAGACACAGGAGACATACCATAAACAGGAAGGCTCCTGTTAGAAACAGTTTACAGAAAGAAGTTTGTCAATAGTTGTCAATAAACCCTGCAATCTACCAAAAGTAGAGATGCTGCTCCAATCTTTGTCAGTCATTTGAAATTAAATCAAAAAGAAAACAGATAAAATGTAAAGAATCCTTCTATTTCCTTTTTCTATATGCACACTGCATTTTCATTATGATAGGATTAGAAATCTTAATATATAATATTGTATTTTTGAAATAATGCATGTTCACTATTTCATTTTAAAAAGTTTAACAGCTTACAAGAAAACAAAGAATTTTTTGCTTTGCTGTTTCTTTATTTTTAAACCACTTACCTTGTAGACTGTGAACCATTTCTAAAAGCACAGGAGTAAGAGTCTGGTTATATTCATGGAAGATGTCAATAAAAAGAACTTCTGTGCATGGCTGGAAAAAGAAACACTGCTATAAGGTCTATCAAAATAAAGGCAAGTGAAATGCATTTTATCCTACACAATGTAGCATGCAATTTAATATATTTTGCTACAGTGTATGCAAAGCTTTATCAAGTTACACAGCATGTTCAAGTACAGTAAGATTTTGATTGCTATGTCTACATGAACAAGTTCTGTGTGGATGTGAAGCATCTTATGTTGAGAAGCCAGTGACTCTGAATACATTTATTTCAGAATTTTCTTTTGAATTAGCTCTAGTTCATTACCTGCGCTAAACGTCCATTCGCTCTTCGAACACATTACATTAGATGCACATCTTTCTCAGCATCAGTCTAAAAGTAACCCAGCTAACATGAACACTTTTGATGTGAACTAAAATGCTAATATAGATGCATTTGATATGACTTTTAGCAGACATCTTCAACAAGAAAATTTAGTGACAACTAAAAGTGAAACTGTTTTTCATCTAATTCTATCAGCTTAAAGAAGAAATAACTTGTAGTAAGCTTCAAATAGAGCCCCAGAACACTCTCTCTTCTCTTTTATGCTAAGTGCATGGTTTCCAGTATATGTCAGAATATTTGTGCACTAGTATGTGGACAAAGTTCAGTTGCAGTATTACTGATTATGTCTCTCTAACTCAAGATTTCTCTGAAAAATCTGAGCTTGAGTTTCTACCAAATAGCATTGCTCTTGGACCAAAAAAAATACACACACAAAAAAGAAACCCACAAATGTTCAACAGTTCCATTTCAAATTGAAATACTTACCCGGAGACTGTACTTCCAAGAATCTCCTCCTGTCTCTTCCACAGCTATTAATTTACAAAATAAAAAAGGGAGAATTATTATTCCAACTATATTTTAAATAAAGCTATTTAGTATTTACTTCTGTGAATATCAAACTACTGAAAAAGTGAGGTTCTGAAAACAATCTCCAGAAGGAACATGTGTTTATACAACATGAGTGCAGAAAGTTGAACCAGGAACAGGTAATTGCAATACGTAATTTGTAGAGGCAAATTAAATTGTAGAGGAAATTAGAATTTTTATACCAGTATCTAAAGAAAGCATAAACTATACAACGTTTCTTACTGAAGCCTTCTGGGTCCTCTTCCCACATAGTCAATTCTTCCTCTGGCAGCAGGAAATAATGAGTGACTAATCTTCTGCATATTTCCATTAATGTTGGATATGTAAAGAATGCTGTCTTTATCTTATGTGCTTCAAGAGTTTCAGGACTACTATCTGAAATAAAATGTATAATTTCAAAATTACAAATAAATGGCTAATTAAATAGTTCAGTAAAACTAGTGAGAAATTTAAATTCAATTAAATTTAAATGAAATTTAATCAGAAACAAGAATGTTAATTGTCACCTAGTGATTGACAAAAGTCAAACTAATCTGAAAGTTTATTTTCTGGGAGAAAAACATGGTTTAACTCTGAAGAGTAAGTTTATTTATCAGTACACGCAGATGTGTACACAGAGCCAAAAGTTGCAAAATAATCCCACAGAAACAGAACATGAGCTTGCTGCATATTCAGCTATATGCCACAAATTTACTGTGCTCATTTTTTATAGGTAAATTTCAATTAGGTAAAATTGTTCACTGAAAACAAAAATGGTCAGAAAGAACACGCTCGCTCACAAACTCCTTTAATATGACTTGTGCGAGTCACTGTTAACATCAGTGCTTTCACCAAAATAACAGACAGAAGCATACATTACTAACAAAATAGTGTCTCAAAGGAATTTAAGTATTGGTAACAATCACCAAGACATTTCTCAAGAACTGAAAAATGAGATTAACAAATAGCAGCAGTACCTTCGATATTTTTGGATGGCTTGTAAGCATAATTTTTTACAATCATCTTAATGAGGTTCATGCACTGCACAATGAAACGCTCAAATACAACTCCTTCACCAGCCTCTGTAAAAACATAGCTCACAGCAAACTCCAAGGACCTCTGAATCAAAGGGGTGAATGAAAAGGGGTGTTGATCCAGGAAGTCCAAAAGCTAAAAATCAAACAAGGAGAAGAGAGGGGGAAAAAGAGAAATCAAATGACCTTTTGTGAAAGTTTTACATATTAAATGCTTTCACAAATTAGCTACAAAAAACAAGTGCCTACTTACATAAAATTATAGCAAAGTAAGAAAATTGAGCATAAATAATTAGGAAAGAGTCAGCACCAATGCTTACTGAAACATGAACTTCTCAATGAAGCTCCAATTTAGATGCAAAATTATTTCATGCTACAAGTTTGAGAAACAATACCTGTTTCCAACTAGACAGTCTTGCTTGCAATGTAGTATTAAAAAAAGTATCAATCACATTTAAAATTCTTATAATTTTAGCAGATATTTATGTACAGATTTGTTTTAAACAACTTCAGTGGTTAATCTTGCTAAATACACATCCCAATCTCTAAAAAGACGGATCTAAGGAGAGGTTACCCACTGCATTTTTGCCAGACCAGTAATCTTCTGTTGTATATATAGCTTTCAAACACCCTATATAGCATACACAGAAAGATAACTCCAGCGCATGTGGGAACTAACTGAAAATGTTATAATCAGTGTAATTATTTGCTACCTTCTCCCAAGAAATAGCATGTTATCCCAAGTTTAAAAAAAAAAAGTGGGAGGGAGAGGACTTTTAATTTTTTTCTTCTCCCTCCTTCATAAGTAGTTGCCTCAATCTTAGCTTTTCTAAACCTGAAATATAGAGCAGCCTGGCCACGTCTATTCCTTTTATCTCTTCTACTATTGCAATAATGCTCTCAGGTATAAATTCTTGCATCTTAATTTCCATAAAGGCTAGACTATCGACAAGTAAAATGCAATTACTCATCAAGTCTATAAATAAAAAGAACGAAAAGAAGGTGCCTATCTCCTTTCTTCTACCTGCGAGTTCAAATCAAAAGGTTCTGTGTTAAAGATGATCAACATCAGGTCAGAGCACCTCCAGCTCTGTTTCAGTGAGAGCTCCAGGTGATTCCCATCTCTGATAACAAGATGGAATATTTAAGTAAGATTAACAAAAACAGAATAGGTAAACAACGGGAATGCTACTGATTTTGTAACTATGAGAGACAAAGCAAATGACACTGTAATTGCCGTGTATGCTGAGTTAGCTGAAAAGTCAAAACTTTTAATAAAAAATAATTTAGTAAAATAAAAGACACTGTGGAGTGTAAGAGTGAAAAAGTTTTTTTGTTAACTTTTTTGAAACAAACTATCAATGGCCAATTATACAGTTATTCGGTCCAGCTGCTTACCAACAATAGTAACTGCTTGTGAAAGGCAGGATAGAAAGTCTATAATCTTTTTCCCTGCCAATGTGATTCCCAATTACAATTGGATTTTTTTTTTTAAACAAAATTTCCATTTTTTCTTTCTGAACAAAACTCTAGTTATCACTTGCCTGTAGGGTAGACTTCATTCTGTTTGAGGTAAGGAAACTTAGTCTTTACTCTTGCAATCTAGATGAGCATGAGTAGACAGATCTATATTTTATAGCAAATAAACTATGTTGTAGTTCCTTCTGTTTGAAAGATCTGAAACTTACTGTTTTTAAAGAACATATCCTTAGGATAGGGATCCTTTCAGAAGGATCTCTTTCAGAAACTGAAATATGATCAGTATATGAATTGAGAATTTACTTACCACTTTAGTGAATAGAATGATAGTCTTTTCTAGACGATCTCTGCATATATTTTCTCCTCCTACATTTCTACCTGGTAAAAATAACATATGTAACAACAGCTACTATTTTCATATTTTCCCATTTCATATAAATATTTTGCATATTTATTTGAAGAAATTAACACTGAAGAACAACTTCTTTTTATCTGCAAGCCAAAAATAAGAAAGCCATGAAAGAACTGAAAATCAAAAATTCAAAGAATTTGTTCCAGTATTATTTAACTCTGAGCTGCAATGAAATTCACTGTGATTGATCAGAATAAAACAGAATCAGGACATGATTACAGACAGTTCGAGGGGAAAAAAAGAGTCAAAAATTGAAAACAAATGCTAGAGTAGACAGAAACATATAAATATAAAAGTTTCGAGAAAATGAAAATGCCCTTATAGAAAATCCACACAGTGTCCTTAGTACATAATACAGTGTGCTATTCTAGTAACCTCATCTTTAAGATACACATCAAAATGGAGTGAATTAGTGATAAAAATTCATTACAGACACTACAAAACACCCTGATAAGATTATAAGAGAAGACAGAGCCTTTGCATACAACAGAGGAAACCAAAGAGAGCCATAATTAAGGCATACAAGCAAAAAGGATGTTATAAATCTCCAGTCCAGTTTAAGTAGTGGCCACTGTTTTCGCAAAACGACTTAGCGATTAGAAAAATCTGAAAGTGTGAAGCATCAGCTCCATTCTCATCTTAGGGCATTCAAACGCACAGGCCTCACGTTCTATGAGACTATCATGGGCCTACATATTACAGGTCAACGTACATGATAGCCAGGATAGTATGGCCTTCAATTCATACTGTTAAAGCTAGTCAGGTAGTCAAAAAAAGAGAAAAAAAAAATTCAAACAAAGACCAGACCAGAAAAGCACAACCACAGCATATTAGAACAAGGAAATAGTTGAATATAAGAAAGGCTGCATTCCAGAAGAGCAAAATTAGATAGATAATTTAGGCACTGAACACAGAGCTGTTTTCAGCACTATCAACTTCTGTAGAAATGAGGCTTAGAACCTGGACTGACCCCTCGCTACCAAGTACAGATTTCATAGCCAGGTACTTTCATTTCCATCACAAAAAAATGACTTCTACTTCTTAGAGAAAAGTTTTTTGAATCATGGGCATTTTATTGGAAAGGTCTTGCCTGTACAGTTTCAGTAGAAGTGCATTTAAAACATTAACTCTACATTCAAAAATCCTAGAATCAAAAATTTTAATGACTGTATTATTCTTTCATCCCCTTTTTTTTTTTTTTTTAGTATGTAACAACAAAAACAGATTTGGGTACTTACTACACTCCAAAAACTGTTTTAGCCGTTCAAACACTGCATGTAGAAAACCCTGAAAAATACAAAAATATACATATTAAAAGATGAAGTGTATTCTGTACTGCATTGAGAAAGATCAAACTGGTTAGACTTATTAGTAGCTCAGATATCATTTAAGTATTATGCAAGTAGTTGATTCTCTTAGTTTATTTCACGAGAAAATTACTTTTCTATTAGCTAGAAGATTACATAGATAACCCAAAGTGATCTTACTAACACAACACAACCAACACAGCATCTCTAACAGAAAGATGTACGCTAGATAAATAGAGGTGCATGTATCCTGTTTATAAGGTGTTTACCCATTTCCTCCTAATCTCACAGAATACAATCTAGCAGGTCTACCTGTTCTCAAGTTACTAATTTAGGATGCAGCCATGAAGTACCCAATTCTTCTACCAAAACCGGCAGTAACCGGTAAAGCTTTTTCTTTTTTGTTCAAATGGGCTGCATACCACAGACTTCTCTCATAAAAACGAACATAAATCTCAAACAAATGTCTTTAGATTCATCATTAAGATCAAAATATCCTCTTGAAAAGATTGGGGCAAACATGCATGAGATATCTGCCAGTAGAGAGGAGGGGTGTCCCCGGGATACAAAAATGGATACAAAGGTGACCTTGAGGCAGGTAATCCAAGGAACATTGCTGTCCTTATCACAGGATAGTCATGGCTTTTCACCAGGTGGTCTGATGATGATATCATGATGATGATATCATGATTTTGTCTGGCAGAATGGAAAAAAGCAAGCTCCCAAAATTATTTGGCACTTGACTTACAGCCTATTCGTATCTTCTCCTAGCCATTAAATACTCCAGAAAACAGGACGCAGGCAGAATGCACTGATGGTGAGCCAGATCCACCCCAAAGCTCCACATTAAGCACCCTGAACAACATCTAGAAACGGCTCACACCAAAATACAACCGAAAAAACATCAACAAACACTCAATATCTATCACAGTGTGTTTTGTTTGCTCTTAAATTTGTTTGGTTTTAGTTTTCTGACCCTATTTTCTTATCAGCGTCCCAATGTTATGCTGGAACAATTGAAGGTGCACAGGTAAAAGAAATCAAGACCACCGCTTGGTAAATGATAGAAAACCAATGTAAACACCCAAAGATCACAAGTAGATCACTACTGTCTACAATCTAAAGTGTAAAATTTAACCTATGTATTATCTGGCCTGTAAATATCCAGCTCTTTATTTCAAAACTTCAAATCATTCAATAAAAGCAACTATATAGGCACTTCCCAAACGCCAACATGAAGGGAATTTAACTGGCTTTTTCAGCATCATGCAGTTATACCAAAAAGAATAAAATCTGAAATTTCTTTGAAGAAACTCTCCTAGAGAGTTAAAGCCAAGACAATCAAAATATTAACGTATACACAATGTTGCACTAGTTCAAATACCTTCAGGCATCTAATACACTAAAATGCCTTGTGATGATTTTGGCAGCACTAGAAATAAGCGTATATCACTTACCATCACCTCTACACTCCGATGAGGTTCTACAAACCCATGGACTGTCAGCTTACGAAGGACTGGAGGGGGGCAAAAGAAAAAAAAAGTTATTTGTGTAGGTATTTTTCAGTGTTTGCTCCAACAAACTTCCAGACATATGACCAAAACAGTTTTGTACCAGGATTGCTTCAACTATACTTAAAAATAAGTCTCATCTTGTTGAAACTACCTGAACATTACATATGATAAACAGTGAAGAGAACTCCCGGAATTCTTGAATCAGGAGAAAAGATTCTGCAATGATTTTAAGCAGCAACCCTCCTGAAAGGCTCTGTTATAGAAAAAGGGCCAAGTGTAACAGCCAACAATACAGCAACCCATAATCCATCTTCTGAATTTTCTCAGATTTATCACTGCCCATAGCTCAAAGGAGCTGCATGCTCTGTAACAATTCAAGAACGACATCTGTATTACAAGCATCAAATGCTGCAATTCTTAAAATGCAAAGTAAAATCATGTATTCATGGTTTTAATCTATTTGAATACTGTTAAGTATTCAGACTTTCTGAGTTAAGTGTCTGAAGTAAAGCACACGACTGCAGGCCAAAATTACAAAACATGAAAAAGCATCCTGCCATGCCCTATGCTTCTCTGTCTCTTGACTTCCTACAACCTGCAGAATTGGTCTCTTCTGATGAGAGAAAGGCTGGAGAAATTTACACTGAGAAACAGGAGGTATCTTCTCTCTCTCTCTCCCATGGAAAGCCATCCTGCTTTGGCCTTGCTCAACACAGAGGTAAGAGAAAACTAAGATCAACAGCTTTCCCATTAGATATCTCTGTGCTGGGAAGTGTTAGGATTCTTTCTCAGATAAGTCTTGACTATTCATTGTGAAGAAATTTATTTCATCCTTTACACTTAACATCATTTTACATTATTACCTTTCAATGACAAC